GCACCTTTGACCATATTGTAATATGTTCTAAGGCGCCCTTTGACCATATTGTAATATGTTCTAAGGCCCCTTTGACCATATTGTAATATGTTCTAAGGCGCCCTTTGACCATATTGTAATATGTTCTAATGCGCCCTTTGACCATATTGCAATATGTTCTAAGGCCCCTTTGACCATATTGTAATATGTTCTAAGGCGCCCTTTGACCATATTGTAATATGTTCTAAGGCCCCTTTGACCATATTGTAATATGTTCTAAGGCGCCTTTTAACCATATTGTAATATGTTCAAAGGCACCTTTGACCATATTGTAATATGTTCTAAGGCGCCCTTTGACCATATTATAATATGTCCTAAGGCACCTTTGACCATATTGTGATATGTTCTAAGGCCCCTTTGACCATATTGTAATATGTTCTAAGGCGCCCTTTGACCATATTGTAATATGTTCTAAGGCGCCCTTTGACCATATTGTAATATGTTCTAAGGCCCCTTTGACCATATTGTAATATGTTCTAAGGCGCCTTTTAACCATATTGTAATATGTTCAAAGGCACCTTTGACCATATTGTAATATGTTCTAAGGCGCCCTTTGACCATATTATAATATGTTCTAAGGCACCTTTGACCATATTGTAATATGTTCTAAGGCGCCCTTTGACCATATTGTAATATGTTCTAAGGCCCCTTTGACCATATTGTAATATGTTCTAAGGCGCCCTTTGACCATATTGTAATATGTTCTCAGGCACCTTTGACCATATTGTAATATGTTCTGAGGCGCGCCATTGACCATATTGTAATATGTTCTATGGTGCCCTTTGACCATATTGTAATATGTTCTAAGGCACCTTAGACCATATTGTAATATGTTCTAATGCGCCCTTTGACCATATTGTAATATGTCCTAAGGCCCCTTTGACCATATTGTAATATGTTCTAAGGCGCCCTTTGACCATATTGTAATATGTTCTAAAGCCCCTTTGACCATATTGTAATATGTTCTAAGGCGCCCTTTGACCATATTGTAATATGTTCTAATGCGCCCTTTGACCATATTGCAATATGTTCTAAGGCCCCTTTGACCATATTGTAATATGTTCTAAGGCCCCTTTGACCATATTGTAATATGTTCTAAGGCGCCTTTTGACCATATTGTAATATGTTCAAAGGCACCTTTGACCATATTGTAATATGTTCTAAGGCGCCCTTTGACCATATTGTAATATGTTCTAAGGCCCCTTTGACCATATTGTAATATGTTCTAAGGCGCCCTTTGACCATATTGTAATATGTTCTAATGCGCCCTTTGACCATATTGCAATATGTTCTAAGGCCCCTTTGACCATATTGTAATATGTTCTAAGGCGCCCTTTGACCATATTGTAATATGTTCTTAGGCCCCTTTGACCATATTGTAATATGTTCTAAGGCGCCTTTTAACCATAGTGTAATATGTTCAAAGGCACCTTTGACCATATTGTAATATGTTCTAAGGCGCCCTTTGACCATATTATAATATGTTCTAAGGCACCTTTGACCATATTGTAATATGTTCTAAGGCGCCCTTTGACCATATTGTAATATGTTCTAAGGCCCCTTTGACCATATTGTAATATGTTCTAAGGCGCCCTTTGACCATATTGTAATATGTTCTCAGGCACCTTTGACCATATTGTAATATGTTCTGAGGCGCGCCATTGACCATATTGTAATATGTTCTATGGTGCCCTTTGACCATATTGTAATATGTTCTAAGGCGCCCTTTGACCATATTGTAATATGTTCTAAGGCGCCCTTTGACCATATTGTAATATGTTCTAAGGCCCCTTTGACCATATTGTAATATGTTCTAAGGCACCTTAGACCATATTGTAATATGTTCTAATGCGCCCTTTGACCATATTGTAATATGTTCTGAGGCGCGCCATTGACCATATTGTAATATGTTCTATGGTACCCTTTGACCATATTGTAATATGTTCTAAGGCGCCCTTTGACCATATTGTAATATGTTCTAAGGCGCCCTTTGACCATATTGTAATATGTTCTAAGGCCCCTTTGACCATATTGTAATATGTTCTAAGGCACCTTAGACCATATTGTAATATGTTCTAATGCGCCCTTTGACCATATTGTAATATGTCCTAAGGCCCCTTTGACCATATTGTAATATGTTCTAAGGCCCCTTTGACCATATTGTAATATGTTCTAAGGCCCCTTTGACCATATTGTAATATGTTCTAAGGCGCCCTTTGACCATATTGTAAAATGTTCTAAGGCGCCCTTTGACCATATTGTAATATGTTCTACGGCGCCCTTTGACCATATTGTAATATGTTCTAAGGCCCCTTTGACCATATTGTAATATGTTCTAAGGCGCCTTTTGACCATATTGTAATATGTTCTAAGGCCTTTTGACCATATTGTAATATGTTCAAAGGCACCTTTGACCATATTGTAATATGTTATAAAGCCCCTTTGACCATATTGTAATATGTCCTAAGGCCCCTTTGACCATATTGTAATATGTTCTGAGGCGCGCCATTGACCATATTGTAATATGTTCTACGGCGCCCTTTGACCATATTGTAATATGTTCTAAGGCCCCTTTGACCATATTGTAATATGTTCTAAGGCGCCTTTTGACCATATTGTAATATGTTCTAAGGCCTTTTGACCATATTGTAATATGTTCAAAGGCACCTTTGACCATATTGTAATATGTTATAAAGCCCCTTTGACCATATTGTAATATGTTATAAAGCCCCTTTGACCATATTGTAATATGTTGCCCCTTTGACCATATTGTAATATGTTCTAAGGCGCCCTTTGACCATATTGTAATATGTTCTAAGGCTCCTTTGACCTTTTTTTTTATGATGGCCGTTGATGCACTAAAAGCAGTACAAACAAGTAGCCCAACGACACCAAGCACGTGCTCGTTACGCGCGGGACCCTTTTATCAATTTGGGCAAGAGTGCGAGTTCGCGAGGAAGAATACATAAAACAAATAAAGACGGGACACATAATAAGCGTAACGAAGCAATTAGGAGTGAAGCAGATGAGCTAAAATATTAGTTTTTAATACGGGGATAGAAGTTGAGATGCAAATGAAATGATAAAGGATGTTATAATTATTACAAAGAACGCGAAAGGGCTCATGCAGACTAAAATTTGTTTATTTATTTTTTTATTTATTTCGCCAACGGATATACCTTAACTGACTTCTTATACAATCCAACAAATTATATTACGTACTAACATTTACAAAATAATTAATTAACCTATGTTTAAAAATGGTTTTATTTGGGAAATAGTCTGATTGCATATCAGCTGGAAGTGCGTTAAACTCAGATAAAGATAAAGAGAGGCTCATTTTGGGAATAATTAGTCCGCCTCAGCTCAAGAAAAAAGGGATCAAAATTCCGCAGTTGCCTAGAAGGAGCATTAAAACCAACTTTCGAGAGTAGCTCAGGACAGTCGATACCACCATTCACCATGCGCAAGGGATGGTAGACGAACAAGCTTGCATTGCTGTACATTTGATGTACAACGTGGTACAATGTGGTACAACTATAATCAGCTAAAGGGAGTGCGAGGGAGATAGATATATGTAGATGTTTTGATTGCGTATAACTTTTTAATGAATGGTCCGATTTGAAAATGTCTTCTACATTTCGATAGGTATAAAAATTAACAACAAAATTGCATTTATATTTCTCGAAAATCTTTTAAGATATGCGCGCAGGACACATTATAAAATCGTTAGTGGGCGATTGTGGGCGTTAGAGGGGGCGTGGCGCTCGGCTGAAATAAACTTGCGCTGCGTAGGAGGCCCAAGAATATGTGTGGAAAATGTCAACCTTCTAGCTTTTGTAGTTTCCGAGATCTCAGCGTTCGACCAGACGTTCAGAGTTCCCATATATGGGAAAAAAGTCTATTTTTTTGGCATAAACTCTAGTTTTAGAGATCTATCTAGCCATGTCCGTCTGTCCGTTTCTATGCGAACTAGTCTCTCAGTTTTAAAGCTATCGCGATGAAACTTTCCCGAAAGTCTTCTTTCTATTGCAGGTAGTACGTATGTCGGAGCGAGCCGGATCGGACCACTATATCTTAAGGCTCCCATAGGAATATTCAAACAAATATAAGAAAATTCATTGTAACTATGTAGGAAGTAGGCGTTTTGATTCTTGACTACTTAAAAACAAAATTTAAATAAATAGAAACGCTGAATCTGGAATCTCTGGAACTGCACCGAGTGAGCATTATATAAGCTTCGGCTGGCCGAAGGTAGCTTCCTTTCTTGTTTTTATTTAAAAAAAATTTTTTTTTATGTTTAGAAGTTGCTGGATTTAAGTCATTTTTTTGAAAAAACGTGCAAAAGTTGCTAAAATTATTAGTTTTGCGATATTAAGGATACATATGGTAATAACTTTGCGTTTTTACCTTTTTGCAACTTTGTGCCATTTGTAAGTTGTACACCACTGATCACAAACAAACTTGTTAGTTTTAAGCTAAAAAGATACACATTTAAAACAGCTCACAGTTGGACAACAAGCCATAATAATCAAAACATGTAATCTAAGATACATTTATAAATACCTTTGCTACGATTTGACATTATCAGAAATAATAAACCATTTTGTTGCTCCACATAATAAACACTGAAAGTTTGCAAAGATTTTTCACTAATTTACGCACACAACAAAGTCAATCGAACAGCTGACTTTGTTCGCTTATCAACTCTATAGTGTTGTTAGTAAAAAATCTTAGATAACTGTTCTCGGCTAATTAGGGTATGTAAATTCACAAAATATACTTAATTTTTAAAAATAATTTGTAAAATAAGTTGATTTTATGCCAAAAAATTGACTTTTTTCCTATAGTGCATTAAAAAGTTATGAGCAAATAATAAAATTCAAACAGTGCGAGCAGTCGCTTTACTGCGTGCATATCTCCACTCCCTCGCACCTCGTTTAGCTGAGTAACGGTAATAGTCAGGTGATAGTCGAGGCACTCGACCATAGCGTTTTTCTTGTTTATTACTTAAGTCTAAGAGGGTAACAGCTGAATTCAATAAGTGTTTACTTTAACTGCAAGATAATATAATATGCGGCTTCCTAGCATCGGGGAAGAAATTCCAGAATTGTGGCAAAAACTTTGGAGATCAAAAGATTTCGCCTATAGGTTTGATAGTAATATCGTGAACCTGAAAGTAAAGGGTACAATAGTATAAAGGTACAATTAACATATTAGTATTTTAAAACACAGCGCCACCTAGCCACCACAGTGACATTACTGAACAGACAGTTTACTTAAAATTTTTAAAATAACATTGCGATTGGCAAGATTTTTGGCAAGTAGATAATATTGATGAATAAAATCATTAATAATTTATACCAGGATTCGTAAAATATCCCTCACAATATGTCATTTTGTTTAAATATAATAATATCAACATTTTTGTCCTTTACTGCGTTGCAGTAAGATATAGTGGTCCGATCCGGCTCGTTCCGACATATGTACTACCTGCAATAGAAAGAAGACTTTTGGGAAAGTTTCATCGCGATAGCTTTAAAACTGAGGGACTAGTTCGCATAGAAACGGACAGACGGACATGGCTAGATGGACTCGGCTATTGATGCTGATCCAGCATCATCGATCAGTGAGCGATATGTATTTGAATAAGCAAAGATGACAATTTGTTTTTATCGTGATTGATATATATTTATTTTCATCACAGACGGCTTGCTTTTGAGGGATATTTAAAATGAGTGATGTTTACGAACCCTGATTTATACTGATGGAAAATTTGAGCGGTAGAAGAGGCATGTCAACGTTTTGAAATAAACTTGCATCGCATCCACTAGTTTTCGAGATATCGTCGCTCGTATGGATATGGCGTGTCCGACTGTACAAATGATCCTGTTCAAGATTATATTTACTCTTTTAAATCGGTAACGCTTCCTTATTCAACCAAAACAATATTCCCATTTGCTGTACGATTAACGGGAATAAACATACATAAACGACTTATGCCCACCTGAACATTTGGTGGGGTTCGTAGAGCATACATCACAGCGTCCGCAACGTTTGCTGGATCCAGCCTAGCCATGTCCTTGACGTAGAAATGGATCTCCTCTGGGAAGATGTTTGTGTTCACAGCCCCAGGAGAAATGCCGGTCACACGGATTTTGTTACTGTGCAGCTGGAACTCTTGCCGGTACGTCTCGGTAATGGCCGTGATAGCGAACTTGGTGGCCGGATAGATATTAAATGAGGGCAGCACGTCGATGAAATTAAGCACCTGGTGCCCGGCAATACTGTTAACAATGAGAACATGCCCCTCGCCACCCCTCTTCTTCATGTTTTTAAACGCCTCGCGGGTGCACCAGATCACACCCATCACGTTGGTGTCAAGGACCTCGACAAGTTTCTGGGTGTTGCCCGGAGTGACCAGTTCCGTCTCACGAGTAATTCCAGCATTGTTCAGCAGCACGTCGGCTCCCTCTAGTTCTCGTTCAATCCACTCAAAGGAGCTGAGCACTTGCTCTTCCTTAGAGACATCACATCGTCGCGGAATAAAGTTGCCCTGCAGATGAGGAGGTAGACCCTCTCTGAGCTCCTTCAGCTTGGCTTCCCGACGTGCCAGGCCCACTACCCGTAGTCCAGCGCCGATCATAGCCCGGGCACATGCGGCTCCAATGCCTCCGCTGGCACCCGTTACCACAGCCAACTTGTTCTGCCAACGTTCCATGCCTTCTTGTCAATGAAAAGGTGATGCAAGCCTCAGCCCGCCACCGAGTACCCCAGAAATAGTTGCATGGCTTCCGGCTTCAAAATTAAGGTTAATCGCTTACGCTCATATGTTATGGCAAGCTGTATGAACTGCAGTAAACCAGAATTCAAAAGAGTGCAGACTAAATAAAACAAAAGAGAAAACGGTATAATCGGGTCTCAAGACTATCAGATATTTGTAGTTTTCGAGATCTCAGCTTTCATACAGACGGACAGACAGACATGGCTATATCGACTCGGCTAGTGACCATGATCAAGAATATATATACTTTATAGGGTCGGAAACGCTTCCTTCAATATGCCCTACGAGTAACGGGTATAATTAATATTAGAGAAGGATGGTATTTGCGGCCTGCAATATTATTAATAGCCAAATCTATTAAAATAGTATAAACTTTTGTTTACCATACATTTTGACACATTTACCAAATTTATATTTCAATTTATTTTCATTGCTTACCTATAAATTGCATCTTTGAGGGATCGCACGTAAACTTAATACTTTGAATGCTCATCTAAAACTGATCATAAGGGTTTAAGATGCAGCGCAACGCAAGCAAAACTCTCGCCGCGGGATTACCATCTTCTTCTTTTTCCATTCGAAGAAAGTATAAGAAACATAAGAGATAAAAAACAGTTTTTTTTAAATCAATGGTGTTATTCTAATTTTACTTTTCTATTTTCAAGAAAAAATTCTATTTTAAATTCAGAAAAATTATTTAAATATGCTAAAATTTACCGTGTTTTTTATGACGACTTTTTAGATGAAAGTAGCTGAAGTACATTTTTTCTAAATTTACTGGCGAGATCACCATTTATTTAAGAAACATTTTGTAAAGCTAAACAGAAATATCACCACTACTTAAAAAAAAATTTTTTTTTCCAAATTTAAGAAAAGTTTTTCATAAAATTTTTGAGTGCAACTTTAAAGATTTGGGAAAAGTATAAGTGGATTTTTGGTGTATTTAAAAATAATTTTTTTAAATAGGAACATTCATTAAAAAGTTATGAGCCAAATTTTCCACATCAGCTAGATGGCGCCAGTAGCTTTAATGACTTCATATCTCCATCTCCCTCGCACTCCCTTTAGCTGAGTAAGGGGTATATAATAGTTAAAGTTTTCGACTATAGCGTTCTCTTGTTTTTTTTTGCGAAGCGACTTTGATTGGTTTTAAAAGCAACTCGCATCAAAGCAATGCATCGGCATCCATCTTCTTTCACACGTATACTTTAAAAAAACGTTCAAAATTAGTTGTCAATTTAATAAGAATGTTTAGTTATGGCAAATGTTCATTTTGCATCATCAAATATTTTCAAATAAAAACAAAAAAGTTACTTTTAAGATATTAACTCCGTTAACATGGATGACGTTAAAACCGCAACAATCCATGGCCATCTAATGGAAAGAATTTCGGAAAATTTTTTCTTAAAGTATTGTTGTTCAGACAGCAAAGGCGTTGGAAAATGAAATGTAAGAGTACTTGTCCAAACTCACCAACAACAAGCAGACAAGACCAATCCCTCAGGAAGTTCAGGCTACCATGAAATTTACTTTAATCGAGTATCGAGTATTACTATAAAAGAGTAGATGTCGATTTGCGTCATGTTCCCCCAGGCCAAACCATAAGACCTAAAATTTTGAAAAAAATTGGGTCTGAATCGTGTGTTAGAGGAGGTGTGCACTAAGAAAGGATTTTTTAAAATTCGGCTCCTAAGGACTCCCAGGACTCTTAAAAAATGCGAAATTGCGGGACTAAAACATCAACCATTTCCACAGTTTTCTACCAAACAAGTTGAAATTTTTATTTTAAGCTTTATTTGTGAAAATCTTTGAAAGCCCAGAAGATGAGCCCCAACCGACTTCCGGTTGGGGGTACTAAATTTTGTTTTCCGCAACGATTATGCGATCGGATCCGTTCTTGGTTTAAAGTGTGGAGCTATGCCATACAATCAGAAAGGCATTTTTTTTGTTTTTTTGGACCCATGGTTGATTTTATATGATTTTTTTTGTAAGATTGCGGGGGTTGTTTTTGTTTTTTGTATTTTTTGCTCACGAACGAATTTCGAACACAGCTCTCACAAAAACAACGCACTATGGGGCATTTGACCACTTTTCTTGGCCGAAATTAATAACTCGGTCAATTCAAAAGATATTGACTTGAAACTTTACCAGTCGAAATTTTTTGTCCCTACGCATCACTATGGACGGCAGTCCATGTAGTGACGAAGCGCACCAGGAGAGTGCGAAGACGACTACTATGTATATATACACGAAGAAATGAAAATCTACTGTGATGGTCCGATCATAATGAATGATACACCTATCGAAAGGTATTGCAAAAACTAACAGGATTGCATACCAAGTCTCTAAGAAAATCAATTGGCTTGGGGGAAAGAGCGAAAAAAAAGAGTGAAAATTTCGAAATTTGGAGCTGTTGGGGCCGGTGGGGATAAATGCCCCCTCGCAATGTTTTAATTGTATTCCTTTTGAAAATACCCGTCGAATGAGGGGTCATTTGTCAAAATCCGACGCTCCGTTCAAAAGTTATTGCCAAAATAAGATTTTCTTCGTCTTCCCAAAATGAAAATTTAATTCTGTTTGTCAGTTTGTCAGTTTGTCCAAAACATGTTTTTTAAGTTTTGAAAATTTGATATGATGTTCATCACAATGATATACAAAACTTTTGTTTTACCACTTTTGGAAAAACTCGCTAGTATAGCGGGAAAAGTAATAATACTTAAAAAAATATGAACAAAAGACAATTTTTTAAAACTTTTTTTTATTTTTCTCAAAAACGGCTCTAACGATTTTCTTTAAAACCTTAAACTGTATAGCCCTTGAGATTCCTTAAATTTTGGTATACAACACATTACTGTAAAAAGTCACGTTATTTTTATTCGAATATAGCCACTTTTGCCAGCTCGAACAATTAACGCTCCCTGAGTATTGAGTTTTGTGTGAGGATTTACGAACTGTATTTTAGGGTCATGGAATCAGTAAATTTGCACTTAAGAGTTCCATATAGGAATCTTTTGTTCTACGACTTTTGGAAAAAGCCGCTACTTTAGCGGGAAAAAAGCTAAAAATAGCTAAATTTCGTTGGTTTGTAAGTTCTACACTACTAAAGGTACAGACATGTGCTATAACTCGTTTAAAAGGTATTTTGATATACTTCATCGCATTTTTAACTTAATTCGTTTAAATACAATGGCTTACAAATTATGATTGACCAATTCAAATTTAAATGTATATATTAGCTCCTATGAGAGCAGATGTAAACAAACAAAAACTTCTGATATCAAATAAAAACACCTCTTAACGAGGTAAAAAACTAGTGACGATCGCACCTTCAACATACAAAAGTTCTGATATCAACATTTGTGACGAAAAATTATTACACTCGTCATTAAATAGACTTTCTAATATTTTTTCATTCGGCACGCTGCAATAGAAAATGCCTGTAAAGGGAAAAAGGCTGGAATAGTTTGCTAGGGCGGGCCGAATGAGAAATCATCCAGATCGGACAACTATATCATATAGCTGCCAAAGAAACGTTCAAATTTACTTTGCTGTTTTTAGAGATAAATGCACATAACTTTAAAAATAGCAATTATGTCAGTTTTTAAAACACAATATTAAAAGTTTTGTACAAATCGGAAGACTATATCCTAAAGTTCTCAAAAAGATGGGCAAAGGAAAGTATTTAATACATCAACAATCAACATTTTTTGTTTTAACGACTTTTAAAAAATGGGTTTTGGCCAACCAAGGTGGTCAAATGCCCCATAGTGCAACGTGAGCAGAAGCAGACCGAGAGAGCAGAGAGAGAGTCATTAGAAGCAAAAGAGAGGCGGCAAATGTTTTTTTTTTCTGGTTTGGAAACACCTGATCAAAATTTTACTATTTAGGGGCTGTACATATATTACGTAATCACGTTTTTGGTGATTTTTGACCCCCTCCTCCCCCTGGTGATCAAACGTAATCATTCAATAAACACCACCCCCCCCCAATGATTACGTAATCCCAAGAATAAAATTTTTTTTGTTTTAATCTGTGGATCCTATCTAAGTTTGTAGATATAATTAAAGGAAAAAAGTTTTTAAATAAATTCTTTAAATAAAAAAGTTCATATAAAATGATTACGTAATCATTGTACAAGACCCCCCCCTCCCCATGTAATCAAACATAATCATTTCAATGACCCCCTCCCCCCTAGGTGATTACGTAATATATGGACAGCCCCTTAGACACCAGAACGAATAATTTAATAGATGCAATTCTTAGTCATAGTGTGAAGCTAACCCGAAAAATGCATAAGGAGTTTTTGTTTTTATTTTAAACAATTTTTGATTGGTTTTCACATTTGAATGTAAGAAACGTAATTACACACAGCACATCGACAAATTGGCATGTACATAAGTATGTGATGATTAAATTAGGATAAAACACCTAATGGTTGCAATTCTAAATCAAAATGTGTATGTATTCCGTAAAATATTCAGGGCTCTACTCTAAAACTGTAAAGAAATTAGAAAAACTATTGAGATATGCGTATACACACATTCATACGAACATATGGGCACTTCCACCAAAAGGTCCACCAAGCAAAAAACCTTAAAACTTAAATAAAACAGATTTCCACATGATTTTGCCCCGATATTAGTTTCTAAATAGTTTGATCTTGAGCTTAACTAAAAATTTGGAGTATAGTTTGATTACATTTATGACAAACGCTACCAATATACACAAAAATCAGATTTAGGCAATTTTTTTGTTATTTTTTGGACCTGTCTTCAGTTGTTAATTTATCCATTAGGAATGCTAGTATGTGACATTTTTTTGTACTGAATGCTTCATTTACATGTTAAACTATTAAGTTAAAAGAAAAAACATCCGGCAATTGAGGGATAGGGGTAAAGAAATCCACTTTACAAAACAGTCGGAAAAAATGTCCCGAGCGAATGTGTTTGAAACTGCATACCAAAAAGACGGCAAACAATTTTTGAGTAAAAACAAAACCATTATTAAAGTTAAAATCCATTTTTTTCCAATTTTTTTTCAACTTTAAAGGTGTGCAAACGTCCCGAACGACAATATGGAAGTGCCCATATGTACTTTAAAAACGTAAAATTAAATATATGCGTGCACAAATAACATTCCAATTTAAAAAAAGGTCGTATTCGCACAACGTTCATAATCTGGAAATTGTACCAGCTAAAACGTACCTACAAAACTTTTTAAAAAAATTGGTTTTAAATTGTGTTAAAGGCGAGGGTAGGTATTTAAGTGTCATTTTTAATATATTCTTTTTTAAGGTTTTTGGGCTTTAGATCTGTTCGAAAAAACGGTAAAAAAAATAGTAAGAGTTTTTTTTCTGCGTTCGCAAAGCTAACAAAAATTATATATTTAGGCTACCAGAACGGTGGAGTTACGGTGGGAATAATGTGAGGTTAGTGCGGGGTTAAGTTTGCGATTAAGGAGGTATTAGATAGATAAGGGTAAAAGTAATGTAAAGAAGGTTTAAAGGTGATGTAAAGGTGAAGGTAAGAAAGGTAAGGTTTGTTTGGGTCAAGGTGACAAACAAGTTTAAATAAGAAAAAGTGAAGTTAAAGTTAGTAGGTATAGTAAGGAAACATTTTTTTCAGATGAGACTAAAGTTAGGTTAGCTAAGAAGAGGAAAAACTGGTGTTAGGGTGGGTTAAGATGAGGAAATAGTGAAAACAGCATTAGGGTGCTAATAAAATATGCAAAGGGTGAGAATAAAATACGTGGGGTTAAGGTGAGGTAATATTAGGTAATATAAGGTATGTTATAGCTAGAAGGATATGGATAGAATGTAAGTGCGCTTTAGGTGGGTTTACTGTTTAGCTAAGGTTAGGCGGGATTTTACTCGGATATTAATTTGAATTTGGAAATATGAAAAAATCAGCAATAAATGCTTTGCATATAGTAGCGGATAACGTCGCTTCGGGTATTGCTAGTAAAGAATAAAGTATGGAAAAAAGTAAAAATCAGCCTGAGACAATATCAAATAAAAACACCTCTTAACGAGGTAAAAAACTAGTGACGATCGCACCTTCAACATACAAAAGTTCTGATATCAACATTTGTGACGAAAAATTATTACACTCGTCATTAAATAGACTTTCTAATATTTTCTCATATTTTCTCGTCGTTTTGACATATGACCCCTCATTCGACGGGTATTTTAAAAAGGAATACAACTAAAACATTGCGAGGGGGCATTTATCCCCACCGGCCCCAACAGCTCCAAATTTCGAAATTTTCACTTTTTCACTTTCACCGCTCTCTCTCCCAAGCCAATTGATTTTTTTAAAGTCTTGGTATGCAATCCTGTTAGTTTTTGCAATACCTTTTGATAGGTGTATCATTCATTATGATCGGACCATCACAGTAGATTTTCATTTCTTCGTGTATATATAGTAGTCGCCTTCGCACACTCTCCTGGTGCGCTTCGTCACTACATGGACTGCCGTCCATAGTGATTTAGATGTTTGGAACAAAATTGGTTGACCACTCTTGAAAATATATCCAAAAAGACAAAGATAAATAAAGATTTTCTTAAATTAAAGATACCGCAAATACCATATCAAAATAAGCATGTTCCCGTAAAATCGAAATGGCCATGTAAATTACAGGTAATGCAAAACCCATATCGTTTTTACATGAATACTAGGGATGTCAAATATTTTAAAAATATCGTATCGCTGATATATTTTCTTTAAGAAAAATATCAATATGATACAAAATATATCGCCAAAAAAACATCAATATCAGATACTTTTGATATTTTTTTTTCAGTTGCATTTCAAAATTTTCGCTGCGTAAATAAATGTAAAATTAATGTAAAAGCACTAAAAAAGTATAAACAATATACAACCCTAGTCAAAAGTATTTTCACAAATTTGAATGTTAACTGTACTCATATTTTGAACTTATAATATAAACATTTTGGCACCTATGGAAAGAACACTTCAATTCCGTTTAAATGACAAAAATTTCCTTAACCCATTAAGCACCCTTTGAAAAGTGAGCAAATTAGACAATTTTTTTTGAAAGTCAAATTTTTAACTTTTTTCTGAGGCTTAAAACAAAAAAGTTTTGATGCAAAGTGGTTCCCCAATCAAAACTAATAATAACTGCAAAGAAAAAAAGATTTTTCAAAATATTTTTCCTTGTATTTTTTATGATTTTTTGAAAATAGCTATTTAAGCCGCTTTTTCTTCCTTTTCATAGAAAATTTTACTGAGATGTCTCCATTCAAAAAATCATAAAAAATACAAGGGAAAATATTTTGAAATTTTTTTTTTGCAGTAATTATTAATTTTGAGTGGGGAACAACTTTGCATCAAAACTTTTTTGTTTTAAGCCCCAGGAAAAAAGTTGAAAATTCGACTTTCACAAAATTTGCTCACTTTTCAAAGGGGTCTTAATGGGTTAAGAACATTTTTGTGTCATTTTAACGGAATTGAAGTGCTCTTTCTATAGGTGCCAAAAGTTTATATTATAAGTTTAAAATATGAGTACACATTTAAATTTGTGAAAATACTTTTGACCCCCTTTGTAATACGTTTTATTAAATTTCTTATTTTATTAGTTCCACACATAAAAGTGTTTGTTTTTCAAGTGGGATAACATTTTTGATGTATTCCCACTTGTTTTAATAGTTTTCAAAAAAAGTTTGCACTTAGTTTGTTTTTATTAATTTCACCGAAATAAATTTTAACATGCTTAATTTTTTTGTGCACAGATGAGAGAAAGAAATGCAAATATAAAATAATATCGAAAAATAAAATATCGATTTTGTGATATTTGGCTAATTAAATATCACGATATAAATATATTTTTTTTGCAAAAAATATTGATATATTGATATATTTTTGACATCCCTACTGCTAGTCGTTGTTGCAGCAGCGTCTTTTGTCTGAACATGCTATAAGTTGTCATCGATAGTCCTAGATACCTATCGAGAAATCCGGGTGTGGAGCAAGGTCCCATCATTTACAAAATTATAAAAAAGTAGTTGCCTTGCAGGTGTTGCAATTTTTATAAAATTCGCAGCGAAAGCGATCGATTTAACTTAATCTGTCTGTGAAGAAACGGTTATAAGACAAAATGGCACAAATGGACATAGAGTTAAAGAAGGTGAGCGTGGGCCGCATTGCGAAAAAGATGTTGCCCACTGGAAACGTGTGCTTTCTAAAGAACTTGCTGATTGATAGCTGATTCTGCCCACAGGCATTCACAGAGATGCAGATAAACAAACTGGAGACTACCAAGAAGATCAACATGATCGACATGAAGTGCGACATGGTCAAGACGGGCAAACACAAGTACCAGCTCACAGAGAAGGGCACGAGCAGCTTATCTGAAGACACAAGGTAAGTAAACTGCGATAAATCGTCCCCAGATGGTTTTTTTAATTATTATACTACAGAGTTTACCAGTCCGTGGGCCGCATGTTTCTGCTGACCGATGTGCAGAACATGCGTGAGGATCTCAAAGCCAAACAGGATAAGTGCGACAAGGCGATAGAACTGCTCGAAAAGAAGAAAGAGTTCCTGCAGAAGTCGCTCAAGGATCAAGAGGACGGTCTTCGCGAGCTGGTCCAGCAGCGCAAGGAGGCCGACCTAACTGCGAAATAGACAACTCGGCATTTATCCCTCAATGCAATTGTTTATTTATTTTCAATATATTCGTCTAAATTGAAGTTTGCGTAGCTTACGAACTCGTTGCCCAGGTTGCGTTCGTGTTCAGGTCGGAACCCGCACTTAAAAACGGGCAGGCGGGAACTCAGCCAGGGCTCTACTACCTCGCCGGAGCACAAGATTAGCTTGCACTCCGATGGGTGCCGTTGCAGTCTGTTGATTATTTCACAAGTTTTGGCAATGCACTCCTGAGAGAGGAAGGGCGGATCGGCCAGGATAAGGTCATACTGACGGTGGTGTTCTTTGAGGTAGTCCGGATTGTTGCCTACACAGTTAAAGTCGTAGAACACAAAGTCCGTGCCATAGGCCTCAAATCTCTGGTCGTACTCAAAGATGTGGACTGAAAGAGCTGGTGAACATCATGGGGAAATGGAATTTAGCCCGTCTGCTTACCGTTGTCATGGATGTTTCTTATATCCTTGTAAAGCGACGGACAGGAGAGTAAAGCTATGTGAAAGGCACCTGAGTCTGCCTTTCGCTCCGCAAGTAGCTTACCCACAACATCCCGTAAAGTGTGCTTAGTTTCCGTACTGTACCAAAACTGACTCAGTTGCTGCAAAAGGGAAAAGTCAAGAAAGTTGTAGTTGTACAGATATGAAGGTTTTCTTGCCCAATCCTCCTCGAATTGCGCATCCTTGCCGGTCTTGTTGATAATTTGATTCTCCTCCTCAGCTTCGCGTTTGGTACGTTCCGACAGAAACTCGTTAAGAATAGCCAACGTGTCGGCGGGGAGCGAAATATCATCGTCCATTATACATATGTATGTACCGCAGAAAGGTAACCTAAATTAATTACATCAAAATAAACCTAAATGTGCGTATGAAGAACTAGAGGTGCAAAACATACGATATTTAAAGCCTTGTCACACTATGGGGATTACCTATCGATTAAGTATTTAAGCCCAACTTTCTAGCTTGTGTAGATTCCGAGATCACATACAGACAGATAGACGGACATGGCTAGATCGACTCACTTTTTTGCAATTTTCTCAAAAAAGGCTCTAACGATTTCTTTTTAAATTTGGAGCTAAATTGCCCTTTTTGTCATCAAAATGCGCGTTTTTATGTTATTAAGCGATGAAAAGTGACCCGCCCAAAAAACAATTAGATAGGAACAAATTCTTATTATATATTTTTAAGGTATAAGAAAAACATACAAGTTTGACATCCATTAACAATTTTATGTAATAAATTAATTATTAAAAGCCGGAAACCTAAAAAACGGATACAGTAACTAATTGGTCACGGCCTTGTCAATGAAAATATATTTATTTAAACCCTATTACAATAGTTATCTTTTGCGTGTTGAAGGTCCGATCGGCACTTCCTTTTTTACCTCGTTAAGAAAGGTAACCTATATTATATACATATATCTATATAATACATTTCCTTAACACATAGGATAGCTTAGTTAAGTAATCCAAAATGTGTTTCGTTATTGTTAGACCTAGGTATGTTAAGAATGATTTATTATCACTAGGTTTTATGCAGAGACCGTAGATAACAGTTATTTGTGATTTTTATTTTAAAAAGACTACTGTGATATTTGGTTTTCAACGTCAAAAATAACGTTCTTTTTACTCTTGTCCACAAAGTATATGCATTTCAACAAATCTGGAAAGCAAATAAACTGTTATTTGTTCATGTCTATAAAGTGCATAAAAACCAGTTAAATTGTTGATTAAAACTTGTACAAATCTCAGTAGGCCTTTTAAAATAAAAATCACAAATAACTGTTATTTACGGTCCCTGGTTTTATGCAGCGTTTTCTTAGATTACTAATAATTTTGAAAAGTAGATAACGATGAGATAAAAAATACAATTTAAAATAAATCTAACAGCTGTTATGAATTGGACTTGAGCTGATTACGTGGACCTGGAACTATCGATGGCACTATCGATAATATCGATGGTTAGCAGCCAGCTTGCTCCATCGATGTTTTGAAAACTATCACGATATTATCGCCGTCATATACACACCACTACTTTTTTTGTGTTTTCGCTACAGCTAAACGGTGAGAAAAATTGTAATATTTGTATTATAATATATACATTAAACCTTGGTTTTCTTTAGACAGTGGAAAGTGATTTGAGGTTCTACAGCGGTGCCCGTCAGGAACACCTTAATCAGTAAGGATGTTCAAGTATATAAAAGCTTTTACTTATTTTCTTTAAGAAAAATTTGTGGATTTCCGATTATAATGTTTAAATTTAAGGTTGATCTCAATTATAGCGGCTGGACCGCTACTTTGTTTTTATGTTTTTTGAATATTCTTTTTATTTTTATTTACTTTTAAATTGATTAAGTTTGACAAAAGAAAAACGAAATGGAAAAATAGATATCACAAAAACTATAATTCTAAATTTATTAAAATTGCAAACTAATTTATAAAGAATGCCCTTATTATTTTAGCTTTCTAAGAAAGGAATAGCCTCTATATGACCAAATTTGTTTAATACTATCGCTATAGTATCGATGGTTTCCGAAAAAAACCTTGAAAACATCGATAGAGTCACTATCGATGTTTTGCCAGCTCTACGTGGACCTTTAATTTCGAAAGATCGAGAAAAAGATGTACGTCAAAATAGCGTCGACCAGTTAGCAACGAAAGTGGAACGGTGGAATTTGGAACACTGGGGCCATTTTTAATTTTTAATTTTCTCGCTACTTGGTCTGCGAGGTCTGCAAGTGTTTCAAAAATGCATTTGAAAAATCAGGTATCCACCATTTGGTTAACTGCTCCCCTCACAGAGGTTGTGCCAATATGCACGCTAAACCAGGTTATTAGGCGTTAATTCAAGCTTCTTTTCTGAAAGTTTCATCAAAATCAAACCCACAGATTTTGAGTAAAACGCCTAACAGTGGACCAACCTCGGATTTTCCCCATACAAAAAAGGGGGCCAAAAATTAATTTGTCTGGGGCTCCACTCATAGAGGTTGTGCCAACATGCACGGTAAATGGGCAGATTGGGGATCCTCCTAAGAACATTTTTTGAAAATTTCATGAAAATTAAACCCACAGTTTTCGAGAAAATTGATTTACAGTGTGCGGGTTAAATGGTCAAATTTTGAAATTGGCCGCTTCCCGCTGACTGCGCCAGCGAGACACCGTACAGCCATGACATCAACCATGTAAATATCCATACATTTTCTATGCAAACTTTAAGTAATTAATACAGCTCTCACAGAGGTTGTGCCAACTTGCACGGTATATCAGTAGAGGGGGCATCATTATAAGTCATTTCTTTTTTAATTTCAGCGAAATCAAACCCACAGATTTCGAGAAATTCAAGTAATTAAAACTAGGGTTTTCACACTATCCAGCCAGCGAGACAGCGTGCGGAGCCATGACATAAACCAAAATCTAGGTATTTATATCGATATATCGGCAAGTACGACCTACAACACTTAATTTAACCAACCTGGCACCTTTTTGGCGCCTAATATCGAAAATAAATATATTTTTATAGAGAATTTTCAATTAATATGTATGCATCCCATAATTGGACTTGCCCTCCTGATCATTTTAATGTTTAATTCATTCAAATCGATCCTGTAGTTTGGTAGAAACTAACAGTTTACTAATTTTGGAAAAATGTAATAATTTTTTTGGAGCGGTTGTGGAGTTGCCATACTGCAGAAAGCCGCTATCCCCGTTACTTTCGAAGAAGACAGAAGAAGAGAAGTAAGCGAAGCTACAACTAAAAACTAAGCTAACTAACTAAAAACAACTAAAAACAACTGGAAACAAATACATCATGTGTAAGTAATCGTATTGAATTATTTTTAAATGAATGTCTTTTAATAGTGTCTTTAATTATAGCGCAAAAGGATTTCAGTGGAAAATTTACGCAGAAAGTGTAAGTGGACTTTGCAATTTGGTTGTTTGTCGTAGATGTACTTTAATCGCGGATCCTGCTGATCCGCTCGATTGCTCTTCGGTGTCTGCGACTACTGCACCTGAACTTCCCGGTTGGCCAAGGCGCTGCCAATCTTTTTGATGATGTCGTGCCCGCCTGCATGGAATTGCGTTTGGCAGCAACTACGGTGGTCAGGAACTTTGTGCGATTATACCACTTTAGCAGGACTTTATTGCGATATCCCGTCATCTACTGGAAGTTGTTGTGCAGCACAGAGCCAAACCTTTTGGCTGGTGGACCCGAATTCTCCGATGGCCGCTTGCGCTGATAAAAAGTCGACTACAAAGGCAGCGTTCTTGGGTCCCGTTAAGCACCGATTTGCTCCATCTTTCTCGGAACCCAGTTGCTTTTTCCCGCGCGGGCAGCTGATTTGCCTTGCTGGTGAACTTTTGGGTCCCAAGGAGCTCAAGGAATCGGTTTCAAAAGCCGAGATGGTTTTTGGATTTCAGCCTAGATCCCGGATCTCCTTGGGCTACTCCAGCCATCGCTCTGCTCCGACAGCAGCTTGACATACCCTTTCCTAAAGTCGGTGCTCCGCGCATCCAGCAGGTCGTACTCTTCCTATTTATATATTCTATTTATATTATTCTATATACACATTTTAATTTGGGAAATAAGCAAGTGCATACTTTCCGCTCTCGTTAATTATAGCCGTTACTCGTTAAATAATAGGGTATATTGTATTCGTGAAAAGGTATGTAACAGGTAGAAGGAAGCGTTTCCGACTCCATAAAGTTGATGTATTATTAATCAGGATCACTAGCCGAGTCGATCTAGCCATGTCCGTCTGTCCGATTGTCAGTATGTATGAACGCAAAGATCTCGAAAACTACAAATGCAGAAAGTTGGGATTAACCACACATATTCTTGGGCTTATTGTGTAGAAATTTATCAAATCATTAAAAAGTTATGTCGACTTTTTTTGTGTTCTTCGTTTTAAGTCCTTGAGCATGCTCTTAAAAATCTGAAAATATTTTATAACATTGAAATCAGCGTCGAATGACACTTCTTTTGTAAAGAAATAATACAAAAGTTATTCGAAAAACCAAATTAGCAGGTTCTGTTAAAAACAAAAACTTCTGAACCTCTGTTGTCTGTTTTCAATTCGTGGTTAAAGGGTCATGTTCAAACTTTTGCTGTGTAAAGGAGCTAAAGATAAAAACTTTTGTTCCATGGCTTCTTAAGAAACCCGGTAATAGCTAAAAATACACAATTTTAAATCTCAATTTTTTTTAAATGTAGTTTAAAATTCTAATTTCCCTGTCCTAGCTTTATATGTCTAAGTAGAATAGTTTTAAGGTTAAAAGTGTGTTCTTCATTACTATTTCTTCCACTTTCTTAAACACCTATATAATGATATTTTAAAATTTTTAACATTATAGCCCTTGAGATAACTTAGTTTCTGACACTTACGACTTTGTCCAAAAACAAATAAACGCAAAAAGCTTTAATTTCGCCAATAGACAGTCATCCGATTGGCAAGAATTTAAAACTTGACTTTTTTCACAATTACAATACAAAATATTCATTCTTAAATTAGAAATAAACAAATTTCACGAATTATTTTTTTCTTTTTTGTTCTCATTCGTTATTTGTTTATTTGTTTTCAGAAATAAAACGTTAGGAGTGACGAAGGCTATAGAAGCCGCTTTGGAGGAAGGACTAATAGGGACGTCAGGTCGTTTGTCAGAAAACGAGTTCGAAGTAATTTTCACCTCTTTACGTAAAAACTGTTGTGCTGCCAATAGTGGCTATTTTAAACAAAAATTTGCTCCAAAAAAATGGAAGAAACGAATTTTGTTAAATTACAAAAGAGTTATAGAAAAGTCAAATTTAAATAAAAAGACTTTTTTATTTGAAAATAATTTAGAAAAACCAGAAAATCAACTTTCTGAACATGATTTTCCTAGTGGTAAAGGCGAGAAA